GCTGGGGGGGGGGGGTGGGGGGGGGGGGCGGTGGAGGCGAGGGCCCAGAGGCGGAGGAGGGGGTTATTGGAGGAACTGAAGTAACCGGGGAGTCCGGGCCGCAGGGCGAGGAATTGAGAGAGAGGAGCAGAGACACTAGATGAACTCGACATTGCGGCCGGAACGCAGAACTGGACTGGGTCTGGTCTAGTGGAAGGAAACGGAGTCTCAAGAGGGGTGTTGGCGGGAAAAGGAAGGTGCTGAGAAGGGCGTTTGAGGTCGGGGTGCTATGGAGGAGGCACGAAGGGCGGGCCGGTTGGGGTGAAATGCTCGTCGTCCACTCTCTGCCTTAAGAACTTGGCCATTTCTCGGGCCCACCTGGATGCGTAGCTTCCTTTTAAGAGAGACTCGGAAAGGGGCCGGAAGCGAGAGCAATAGCATTGGGTCTCTCAGCACCTGGGTCAAGGCCCCAGCCCTGACTTGGTCCTGGAGGTAACGCTGGCTGAGCGACTCCGGACCCAGCCTTAGCCCTGGGGTCTGAGCCACACAGGTTGCTTTCTGAGTGTCTAAGGGATGGAAATGTTGGGAAAGTTATCAGCATTTCTAATTCAACTTTTACCCTTTCTAAATGTATTGTTAGTGCCAAGCCCTGTGTTAGTACTTTCCTTGCATTATTCAATCCCCCAAAGAGCTTCTGAAGCGGACGCTGGCATTGTTCCCATTTTACAGAATTAGGTTTAGACTCTGGGCGCATACTCCAAAGTCGCAGAGCCCCAAGGGATGCAGCCAGGGTTTATTAACCCCGGACTCTGATCCCAGAGCCTGGGCTCTAATCGGAACACAAAGTTGCCCTTTTTGCTTCTAGTACTTTTTATTTGTGGGATATGAAATAACTCGGTTTTGTTTTATTTAAAAGTTACTATTTTTAAAAATTGATATCAGAGAGGAAGGGAGAGAGAGAGAGAGAAACATCAATGATGAGAAAGAATCATTGATTGGTGGCCTCTTGCACGCCCCCTACTGGGGGTCAGCCCGCAACCTGGGCATGTGCCCTGACTGGGAATCTAACCGTAACCTCCTGGTTCATAGATCAATGCTCAACCACTGAGCCACACCTGTCAGGATAAAAATTACTATTTAAAATTTATCATAATTAGCCCATTTTAGTAACAGTCAAACATTACATGAGTGAATAAAGAGGATATTGCCCTAGCCAATTTGGCTCAGTGGATAGAGCATCAGCCTTTGGACTGAAGGGTCCCAGGTTCGATTCCGGCCAAGGGCACATCCCTGGGTTGCAGGCTCGATCCCCAGTAGGGGGCGTGCAGGAGGCAGCCGATCAGTGATTGTCATCGTTGA